CACACACACACATACGCGCGCGCATGTTAATTCCAATCTACCTTCTTTGTTATCTAAAATTGTTTCTACTTTCCCAGAGCTGGAACCCACACTGGTATTGACCACAGAAAGGGGTGTGTTTGAGTCTGAGGTCGTGACTGCTCCCCAGAGTAACTCAAGCGTAACTGTTCGACTCCGCACGCCCAAACAGAGGTCTGCTTATCTAACGCATGATTATGTTGTTTGTTGTTTTTTTCTTTAATCTTAGAGTGGTAGTAAGAGGCTTGTTTAAAGTCCAGAAAGTACAAAGAGTCTCGTAAAACTGCAAAACCAGGTTTTTGAACGAAATGCTTTCTATTTTGTAACAACTACAATGCATAAAAACAAAACGATTGACATAACGCACTAAGAAGTTAATTTGGATGATCACGAATTAAGGCTAATTCTATTCTAGATTCGTTAATAAATTTTCTTAGCTTGTCTAAAATCTAAAAGAGTACAAAGTTACTTATCAAATTACAGAACAAAGTTGTCTAACAAAACGTGTGTTTGATCGTAACAACCACACATGAACAAAACCAAAAGAATATGCTAAACTCTGAGAGTGTAATGGCCAACGTAGTAAAGACCAATATAATGACTAAGTAATTATATATCAATTTGGAATAACAACGTGAATTAAGGCGGTTTTCATTGTTTTTATTAAGTACAAAGTACAAAGCTGCTAATAAAATTGCAGAACCAGGTTAATGTAAACATGGTTGTTACAGTTACACATGCGCAAAAACAAAAAAGAATATACTCAACACTGAGAGTGTAACGACCCACATAGAAACGACTGACTAAACGAATTAGGGAATAAATTTGGATTACTAAGATATGAGACTGTTTCCTGTTTCTTTGATAAATAACTAGATTTTAACTAGACTTGTCTAAAGTCTAGTCGATACAAAGTTGCTCGCAGAACTAGAGAACCAGGTAGTGAAAGAATCGGATTTGTTGACTTGTACAACTAAACATGCGCAAAAACAAAATAAATGGTATGCTCAATACTGAGAGTGTATGACCGACATAGTAACGACCAACGTTACGACTTTGAAAGATTGTTTCCGGATTCTTTGATAAATAACTAGAGGTGTCTTAAGTATAGTTAGTACAATAATGCTTGTAAAATTGCAGAAACCCTCAGATTATAAAACAATTTATTTGATTTATTATTCCGTATAGTAAGTTTGTTTTGTAATTTCGTTGGGGGTGGGGCTGTTACGAAGTTTTAACTAATCTTATTTGGGTTTTTTTTAGGTTTAGTAAGAGTTTTACAGCATTTGCAACACAATGAGGACATATAAGTGCAGAAGATTAGAAGTGTTACAAGATGGTAACAAACATAAAACAGAAGGAGGAGAGATCAAAAAGATAGTGGTTTGATAGGACAGCAAACCACACCAGAGCACCCGCCAACCACCCACGATGTTATTTGTGTAGGAAAGCAGAGGTAAAAACTAAGAACCAATCATATTATCTTCAACATTCACAATAACCAAAAAAAAAACGTGACGTGGAAAATAGAAATCTTCACTTTTTTGGACCACCACTCCGTGATGCGTTATTACATCTTCAGAAGAAAATAAAATGCAATTGCTATCATTAGTAACTTTTCCTTTGAGCGCTGTATAAAAAAGCACTGAGCTTGGCATGTGGTGAATGAGATACTTAGTAGTGAAATTTTTAAAGCTCGTTTTCGCTTTGGAGACAATACAATGTAAAACTCAGTTTTTAGAGGACTGACACAGGCCTCGTGTAAAATGAAAATGATCTACGGAGAATCAAGGACAATAACTATGAAAAATGTTCGTAGAAATAGAAAATATTTTACCCTCCCTTGACAAACATTCTAAATGCAACAACTGGGAAGGGAAACTGGGAGGGGGGGGGGGGCAAGATAGCACTGAGCTCATGAAATCAACATAATCAAATGTCGCAAATATTCACGCTGAATTGAGTATCAGCTATATAATGCAACCTGATTGACACAACCACGTCAGGTTATCCCTACAGCTGAGGAACGTGGAGGAAGACGACGTGTTACAGAGAGACATCTCTTTTCCTGTGTTGCGAACCATTCCCCAGGGAGACATCGTATACGAACAAGGTCAAAACGTTGATTTTCAGGTAAGCTCTCACAGGTGTCTGTGGTGTACAAGTTATGCACCTAGCCGTTGTAGGCAGGGTGTGTCGATGGCCTAATGGTTAGACACTCAGACTCGCAACTCGGTATTTCGTGAGTTCAAACCCCGTTAGAGGCCTGACACGGTGTACTCGTGAAAGGCACTTTGCATGAATTTTTTCCACTTCACCCTGGTGGCAATGGGTACCCAGGAATAGACAGCGAGACACATTGTCGTTTTGTTAGCGACTGAACGCGTGTAATCCGCAACTTGCACTATTGTATGCTTCCCGGGAAGCCGGGAATGTTTCTGAGTGTTCTTTACAGGTCTGTTGGGGAAATAATAGTTGTAAAGCGCGTAGAGCATTCTGTAGGGCGTGAATATTCTCTGTATAAATGAAATTGTTAGTTATTACTATTTAACTTAAGTTTAATTCCGGAGTGGAAAAGATAATGTTGTTGTCACGTTTGACAGTCTTTCCGCTGGTCAAAGCCCACTTCCAAAATTATCTTATTTGTGTGGATGTAAGCGTAATAACACTTACATTAAAACATAATAATAATAAACAAGGTATCTTCTTGTTTGAATCTCGGGGGGTATAAAAGAAAGCGCTGCATAGGTCAACTAGTGCCTATGTTGTAATGGTTTGGATCCTTGCTGTAGCCCACAAAGGTCATCACTTCCATTCTCGACGAGAGGCAGTTATATAACCTGAGTTGAACAACTTATCAGCTGGGGTGTTTTCTCCCCTTCTGGCTCAAGTTGACTCTGGCATAAACAGTCTTAACAGCTCGCCCATGAGGAAAATTTAAATGATGTAAAAGAAGAACTTCTGACCCTGGCTGTCAGGGCCAAACCGGAAAGAGAGGGATACAACATCCCAACTGAAAGACCTAGATACTCGTTAAAAAATCTCCTCACTTGGGAATCGAACTCAAGTTTCCTGCGTGCGGCAGCGATGTACCTGCCCTCCACATCACCGATGTTGGTTATCTAAATTGGTTCGACCGGTAAGTAAAGCATATGCAATACAATTTACAAGATCCACCCGTCAGACAAAACGTAAATGAAAATGTTATAATTTTGAAGACATGGTTGCTAGTATCAGTGACGGTCGAAAGCTCAAGATACAAGATAAAATTAGGATAAGATAAGATAAGATAATATACTGAAGTAGAAATATCATGAGTATTATGTTAATGGCTGCCTTAAAAAGAATATTATGATTATTTTTTCATGAGAAATAAAGTGTTTCTCTCTTGCTTAAACAAACAAATATGCAAAAAACGAGGGACAAGAACAAACGCAAAAATAATATTCCTACTCTTTTACCGCATACCATACTGCTCAAGAAGATGCATCTCTCTTGTTTAATGTTATCCTCAGATTGTGCGATCAAGAGGTAACGGAAGCAGCCCTGTTACATCTTCTAAACGATACATCATTCTGAACCCTATAGATCATACTAAGGCCATAATTGTTGTATCGTACTCGGATTTCGAATTCTCCAGTGTTGAAGCTGAGTGAGTTTGTTTGTATTTTGTTGTTATGATTACAGAAATAATGAGGATAATAATAATGATAATAATAATGATAATAATAATTATGATTATAATAAAAAAGATAATCTAGATGATGATGATGATGATGATGATGATGATGATGATGATGATGATGATGATGATGATGATGATGATGATGATGATGATGATGATAGCATGCATAATAAATATAACGTTCAACTCTTTTTTTATTCTGGAAACCATGTTGAGGGTGCGTTACAAATACACACAGCATAATATAAACTGTAGTACATATTGTTCTTTCTAAAAACGGTGATACATTATGGCTCCAATAAAACGGAAATAACTTGAGAATAATTTTTCTTAAATGCTAAGATTACTTTGAAACGCGATTGTGACTTATGCGTATTTGTTGCTGATGTTATTGTTTTTTTCGGCATGTACCCTTACTTAACAAAACTCTGTGAAAAAGAATCTGTCTCTATTCAGAAACTCGACTTTTTTAAAACAAAAATATCATTTAGTAAGTTGTACTGGGAACATTTTTTCAGAACACAGTTGCGTGTTTCTTATCAACTAACACAAAGCTTACTGTGGCTCCCATGACACACCCCCCCCCCCCCGGGGGCACGATATACAGGGTTGTTTTTGCTTTGTTTGTTTTTTTAATGTTAAAATTTTTAGTGGGTTGTTTTTTTTTAGAGTATTGGTATTTTCTTCTTCACAACTCGTCAATTTTGTTTTAAAGAAGAGAGGTGTACATCAAAAAGAGTACTTCCCCAACTCGGTTATCCCATACTAAAATGCTCAAGACGACCCAATAATGTTTCAGGCCGGTTTTGACATTTGCAGCTAGCTGTATCTTGTAAGGAAGTTGTTAGGGGACTGTACAGTCCCCTAGCGTTACCCACTCGGGGGCTATAGTGTCCCGTAGTGCGACCCACTCGGGGACTGTACAGGCCCCTAACTTTGCTTTTGGCCCTGGGGGACTACAAAGAAACAACCTTTGACGTTTGGATAGAGATCAACAAGCCATCATGGGACAGATCTAGATCATATTGATACATAACTAGATCTAGATCTAGTTAAGTTAATTAGTATGGTGGGAGAATCTGGATCTAGAGCCAAACACTGTTTATTTAAGGCGAATTTATCGTTTTTGTCGACAGGTTTGATGCTCTATCTAGATCTAGATCTAGGCCTAGATCCAGTAGTCATGTAGTACTAATGACATAGACTGTAGACTAGGCCTATACTACATGGTAGGTCTACTCTTCTTCAATTAAAAAATGTGCAGTCTGTGTCTATAATATCTCGGCCTAGACCTAGATCTAGATATAGTTTAGATCTAGATAGTAGGCCTAGTATCAGTATTACCAAAGATTCTCTACTTCCAATAGGTACTACAATCCTTCTTTAGGATTTCGGTGTGAGTATTCACACCCGGGGTGAGAATACTTCACATATAATAGATCTATATTATTCTCACCCAGGTTTTTTCGTTTCCACCCTTTTTAGATCTAGATCTAAATTCTAGATCTAGATCTATTTTGTTTAGGCTTTGAGTTTTTGTACAGTCCCCCAACAACTTCCATTGCAATATCTTGAATTGGTTGGAGAGAATCTTTGGTAATACTAAACTAGATCTAGGTCTAGATTTGATATATTAATATTATACACACAGACTACCATGTAGTGTTGTCTATACAGTCTACGTCATGATCATAGGTAGTTCTACTGCTATATCTAGATCTAAATCTAATCTAGATAGATCCTATTCTTGATTAACAAACCTGTCGACATAAAAATATAAATTCGCCTTAGATAAACCGTGTTTGGCTCTATATCTAGATTCTCCCACAACACTCATTAACTTAACAGTTGCTAGATCTAGATCTATGTATCAGTAGGGTCTAAATGTAGATAGATCTAGATCTAGATCTAGAGCAACATCTAGATCTAAACCTACAATGTAAGAACTATTACAATATAGAATCTAGATCTAGATCTAGTCTAGATCTAGACTATGTCAATTCTATTGGATCAACAAAACTTTCACCATTTGCCTTCCCCCCCCCCCCCCCCCAAAAAAAAAAAAACAGTGGGTCACTCTACCATTCATTTTTCAAAACAGAACATCATAGCTGCCAAAAACATTGCCAACAGTCAAATAATACAACATGTTGTCAATTTGTCGTGGGAGGAAATTTAAATGTCTAATGATGGCTTGTTGGCTTCGATCCAAAGGTCAAAGGTTGTTTCTTTGCAGTCCCCAGTGCCAAAAGCAGCGCTAGGGGACTGCACAGTCCCCGCTTACCGGTCACCTTATTTTCACACTTATTGTCATTTGACTGTGAATTGTAATTCATTTTAACAACTTCCTAGTTACTTTCAATTACAATAAATCATTTTGACACTTTTCATCTGGCTGTTACCATCCTAGAACCACGTCACAGGGCCTTGAGTATCTGACCAGACGACTAAGAATGACCAGCCGTCCCACTAGCGGTGTCGTTTTATATACCCTCAACATGCCCAAGTCCGATGTCCTTATTGAACGCGCTCAGGTAAACAATAGAATAGCCCTTTTTAATTCTTTTTTTTAAATTATCGTAAGCTGCTTTGAATTCAAATGATCACAATTCCAATCACTTAGAAGAGGTCTGATGTGAGCCTGCCTGTCAGGTTCAACCTGGGCTAGGTGGGGTTCAACATCACAGAAGGCAGATATTCTTGTTTTTCTTGTTGTTGATGTTGTTATTGTTGTTGTTGTTGTTGTTGTTGTTGTTGTTGTTGTTGTTGTTGTTATTATTGTTGTTGCATCTTTTGTTCTTGTTGTTGTTGTTACTGTAGCTGTTGCTGTTGCAGTTTTTAAAAATTCTTTTGGGAAATCGAATGCATGCCTTCTGCACGCAAAGATAAAGAGTATAACGTAGAACAGACACTAACTGTCCTTTCTTCCGTAAAACACCACCAATTCTATTAATGTGTTTCCTTATAATTATAGTTATGTAATCCATTCTTGACACACTTGGAAACGTGATGAATAGGGACTCAGTGACGGCCGATAGGTACATGAAGAAAGGACCCCGGTTAAGGACATTAAGATGGTTGTCTTTCAATCAATTTCAATAAAACTTCGAACAAATAAGATCTCACCAAGATGACGTAATTTTTTTTTAGTTTGAGGGAGATTAATGCACAAATTCGAAAAGCTCTAAAAATTTCAACTTCAATTTAATAAAACATGAAGCTGAGAGGTTTGAGTTACAGGGGCGAGATTTGGAATACGGATGTCACGACTGTCACAACAGAGGGATATATCATAGGGCTGAGAAATAAAAATGGATACATTTGGGAAGGAGAAGGGATTTTGATGCTGAAAAGGCATGTTTTAAGCTGGGTGAAGTCATACCACATAGTCAAAAGTGACGTTGGGAAAGGCTTTGTAACCTGAGGCTTACAAATTGATCTTGTCACCACTTTAACCCGACTTGAGGCCAAGCCTGTCGAAGATTTTTTCTTTTCTTTTTTAAGACAAAGTCTACATAAACAAAATATCACTAACGATCGATGTCTGACAAGACGTGCAAAAAATTAATGCAGGAGCATGCCATGTGGTTATTCTCAAATTTCAGCAGCATATTCAGGCTTGTCTAGAGATAAGTGGTCAACATGTAGAAACACAATCTAAAAACCCACCACATTTCCTGACTTTATTTAGAACATTCTTTTACGCAAAATACATTTTAGTCAACTAAATTCCAGGCGTTCATTGGCTGACAGGCGTAGAATTACGAATAAACAATTTCGCTAGGTACTGTATCTATAGAAAAAAATATGGTAAACGGTATTCTGTTTGGGGGGGGGGGGAGGTTTCGCGGTGGGGGAGATTGGAGAGGGATATATCAATATGGCTTGTAGATCAAGTGTCTGTCTATCCATCTGTCTATCTATGTATGTGTGTGTGTCTGTATGTGTGTGTATGTGTAGAAGATGCAGATGTGTGTGTGTGTTTGTGTGTGTGTGTGTGTATGTGTATGTGTGTGTGTGTGTGTGTGTGTGTGTATGTGTGTGTGTGTGCAGCCATGGTCGTGGAAATTAGGAAAATCATCAAGTGCACACATTTTTCTGCATTGGTCAAACAGCCGTACCTTCTTTTCTGGGCATACTCTTAGATACGTCGCACTGTTGTCATCCGGCCCTCTACACAATCAGAGGCGTTTCCACGGGGATTTCTGGACATCCCGAATTCTCGGTATAATGAGATCCTTGGGAACAGATCTGAAGTGGCGACCTGCAGGTACTAGACTGTAACACTATACAAGATACTTCAAGAAACTACAATAAAGTTCGCTTATTGAATTTTTTTTTTATATAATCCCATTGTTTTGGTACATAATTAATCTATTATAATATTGTTTTATAATATTATAAAACATTGTATAGTGTTCAATGTGCGATGTGTGCCATCGTAATGAAATTAGACACTCCTAAAAAAAATGAAATTGGAGAAAAAGACATGTTCCGCCCATTGGGCAATTTTTATTGATTTTTTTGTCGGGAGTGCCTATTCACATGCTATAAGCATTTAAAAACACATTTCTGGGAGCATTTTGATGAAAAAAGTCATTCAATGTGTTTTTAAACCTTCAAAAAACCAATTATGCTGTTTTACTATAGTATTAATATCCACACATAATAATAATTATTATATTGCTGAATACGATGTTCCTTAACTGCGCTAATGGCAAGTATCTTTTCAAAGTAGAAACAAACTTTAATTATTCTACTATCTATGAAACTTTAAACAATGGGTGAAAGGACTTTTGAATATCAAGGTCTGGAATGCTTAGCAAAGTAGTGAGAGATCAAATCTTTTGATTCATTCAAATGTCAGCTGAATTCATTTCTGCTTTTAAATTGATACGATGAAAATTTAGCCTAGAGAGATTTTCTTTTGGTCTGAACACAACGTTGTATGTTACTGTTGTATTGTTATTGAAAAATGCTCAGAGCCTGTGTTTGATATTGGTTGGGAGCTATATATAAGTGTCATTTATTACTATTATGATAATATTAATAATATTATTATTGTTATCATTATTATCATTATTATTATTATTATTATTTTATTTTTATATTATTATTATTATTATTATTATTATTATTATTATTATTATTATTATTATTATTATTATTATTATGCTATTTCTTCCCAGCAATATGATTACTCCTGGCTGTTTCATAGCCTGCTATGGTGCTGGTGAGGACATAGTCAGGATGACACTGTGGAAAGTCCGTGCAAATGGATACAAAGAGAGAGTGGAGGAACAGTAGGATGGCTTTCGTTATACGTTGTGTTTGTTATGTTTTGTTCACCTATTAGGTGTGCGGACGAGGGGATACAATTTTATGTGTAAATTGTGCCTTCTCCACTCGGGTTCGGGGACCTTGTGTCAGAATCTTAGCAAGTTTGATAGGACTCGAAAAGAATATGCAGGGTAAATGATCAGGGAGTAGAATGATGCATTTTTAAAGTTCATAATCTGTTGGTCAACTTGCTACCTACAACCCGCTTACGAATACCCCAACGTACCTGCGACTATACTGTCTTCCCACTTAGCTCCGCTCGACACTTGTCTTGGCCGTATAGAATAGGCTAACACTAACAATGTCACTTTAGCAGAGACTGTGCCCACCATTTCGGAACTTTACGGTGGCCGTAGAGATGATTCCAGTAGGGAACGGGATAGAGGGTGCCCTCGTCCCTCGTGACTCATTTTAGCAGAGGAAGATAGGACTAACGCTAACATTACTTAAACGCAATCTCACATCAGCACTCATCACCACCACTATTTCTAAAATCGTCATTGCTCTCAGATCAATGACTTACATCTATAATCCTGGAATCTCAATCTGTGACAATTACTTGTCATACTAATTATGCACATAATACAGACGTACGATATAACAGAACTCCCAAACACGAGAAAAGAAGCTTTCTTCAGGTGCAATGTCATAAAACAAAACGTTTGCACCATAGAAGCCAGTAAGAGTCGAAGCACAGTAAAGGGGTATCGTTCTACTTTGTTTTTGTCATGTTATGTTTTTCTTCTTTTCTTTTAGTTTTAGACTCAAATAAGGTTGTTTTCACCCAAAGAGATACTGGAAGTATTCATAATGAAAGTTTTTACCTAGATAGTTTCATCCACATGTATTTTATCTTTGAACTTCATTATTTTGCTCAAGTCTGCAACCAGCTGTATTATAAGATAAGATAAGATAAGATAAGATACACCTTTATTGTCCTGATCCTGGCACATTGGTCCGGGGTTACACCACGTATGCACACACACACACACACACACACACACACACACACACACACACACACACACACACACACACACACACACACTCACACACACGCGCGTGCGCGCACACATACACACGTACACACACACACACACACAAACACCCACACAAACACACACACACTCACGCACACACAGGCGTACGACGCACACACATGTGCACACCAGTATATTATACACACACTCTTTCTTCACAATTCCTCTCTTCCACAAGCATTTGTGCACATAACCATAATAATATTGTACGCTTGCACTCACAGAAAGGGTCATAGTCACATGAATAATAAAATAACGAACAGTAATTATAAACATTAATAGTGTTAAGGTAGATACGTACTCAATGTTCTGATTGTAATTCAATGGTATTCTGATGCTTGGTTTAAAGGTCATATGAATACTTTAAAAATGATTAAGATGGTAGACGTTTAATGGATAATGGTTAGGATGACCTTGTGCATCTTTATTTGTTAGAGATCAGAAGCCTAGGTCTTTTTCTTCTGAATGATATTTTTATTTGAGGGAACAAGGGATGTCTATTGTCCAAGGGATGTTTATGGTGCAAGCGATAATGTATAATTCATCAAAGTGGGGGAATGTAGATGTTGAAATTGTAAGTAAGAAGAAACGGTGCCTTCACACTATAGAAACCAGTAATACCTTTTTTAGATCATTCAGGGGACATTGTCGTAATCTATTGTTGATCAAAGTGAAATCGGGCAAAGTGAGAGGGTGAGATTTAGGTAGATAGATAAAGATAGCTAGAGCAATAAATAGAGACAGAGTAAGAGAGAGATTTGAGAGACGGGGGGGGGGGGAGACAGAGATAGAAAGACAGAGAAGATAGAAATGAAATTGAGAGAGAGAGAGAAAGAGAGAGAGAGAGAGAGAGAGAGAGAGAGAGAGAGAGAGAGAGAGAGAGAGAGAGAGAGAGAATTAAAAGTAGGCTGCGTACCCTTCCTGACGTCTATATTGTGAACAAAGAAATCACCAACTTCATTCTTGCCCCCCCCCCCCCCGCCCCCACCTCAGACAAGTCGGTGAAGATGACCACTACGGTTATGTAGTCAAGAAAGTCCAGCCAGACTCAGGACCTGTGTCCCAGTCCCACTACCAGTGTGAAGCTGTAAATACAGAAGGAGAGATAGTCACTAGAGACTATTTTGTCAACTTTATCATTGGAGCTGAGATTATCCAGGAAGAATCGAGGGTCACCAGGATTAATGAAACGGCAAGTATAACAACGGAGAACAGACTAGCGAGCGGGCACCGACATCTTAATTTATTTACGTTTTTTTGGTCATGGGTGTTTTATAATTGTTTGGGACAAGTATAATTCGTGATTAATGTGATTAATTTTGAGAACGTGTTTGGTATTGTCAGAGAAAGAGCAACCCTTGATGTGGAAATTTTAGTGTCGAGAGAACGATTGTGTAATACTGTGCTGATTTAGCATTAATAACACATAATTTATGTCAAGCCCCTATCAACAAAATGTGGGAAAATTAAGAGGAGGAATCCTTCAATCCATTGTGTTGAGGTCACCCCGGGCCAAGAGGGATACAGTGCCTATTAGGTGTGCAGACATAATGTGATAACGAGAATTTCCACACACGGGAATAAAGCATTTCACATGCAACGGTGTAAAGCCAAACATTTTCACCAGAAAAGCCAGTAATGTTTTATTTGAAAAGGCTTCTACTGAATTTGGTCGAACTAAGGAAAAGAATGTTTATTTACTAAGTGTAAAAATGTACTTCCACTTGATATGTACAGATCAGCATCGTACCTTTACATGAGAACATAACACCACAAGATGTTTGTTTGCTTAAAACATGACAAGTGCACCATGGCTTCATCCACACCCAGCAGTTTCTGAAAGAAACACTTGCCTGGCATTTTTTTTTTCACAATTTTATTTTCGTTTTTGTACTTGTAAATACACGTATTTACCAACGCTCTTTGGAATGAAAAAAAATGCATGTTAAGATCAGAAAAAGGCAGCCTTGTTTTATTTGATATGTGTAACAAAAGAGAAGTTTAAAAAGGCATCATCTAATTCATACGTTTCGTATGTTAACTACTTTTTCAGTTTCTGTTTACTTTATTGTGGCTATGTCATTAATCTTGTTTGTCATCAGCATGCACAGAATATGCACATATCATTCATTATGTCGAATGTATACGTATATCAAAGTCATATAATTACAATAGTAATGAAAGCTGTATTATCTCTATACTTACCACTCGTCCATGAACATGCGTACAACACAGCTGGTTGAGGTGCAGTGTGTCGCGGCAGGGAACCCACCCCCAGAAGTCCTCTTTTTCCTCACGTACGGAGAGTTCAAGCAGAGAGATATTGAGCCGTCGTCTGTATCCACGAACGCCCAGAATCATGTGGTGGCCACACTCTACGCACCAACCTCAACCACAGGAGACTATTACAGACCAGGAGGACCCCTCAACAAAGCCGCTTGCAACGCCCGAGGTCCAATAGGAGGGGAGTATTCTTTCGACTATTACGAGTGGCCGGTGGTGCTGGAGTAATACTTTGACAGCCGACATATAGTAACCACAGAGGGCGCAATTCAGGCCTGAAACTGATAAACAGCTAGCCACTTGGTAGCCAAAACGTTATAACTAATGATAATACAGCAATAACCTGTCTTTTCTCTAAATTTCATCGTCAAGTGCCAGATCTGCGACAGATATAGACGATCATGGTTCTCCATTCATTCCTTTGCTCAGATGCTTTAATGTTTTAAAAATACATTATTAAGATCATCCAATGAAGTTGCTCTGGGTCTATCCCTGCTTCCTTTGCCTTCAGTTTTGCGAGTGAGACCAAGATGTTCGAGGCTTTTATGTCTATTTTGATGTCCCAGAAACGGAATCTTTCTTTTACAAATCAACTCGTTAACTATGAAATTAAAGTTTACATAGAACACTCAAATGACTTATTATAAAAACCACGCTCAGTAGTCTGTTAACATTTATGTTACCCAAGGACATTCCTTTGTAGTTATTGGAAAATTGTTCTGGCTATTCTCTTAGTAGTATACGTTACAAAGTAAGGCCAAATACCAGCATTTCATACTGACATAATGTTCTGACAGACATGCAAACGGTTACACTAATGTGAGTCTGACATTTAAAAAAAAATAATGATTAGAATGTGCATAACATGCCCATTAGTGCACAGCTGAGAAAGTAACAGTTACGTTACATTTACGACTGAAATCATCTAATGATTGTTTAGTTCAGTCAAGTTTTAATATGCCTTTTTACGGTACTTGCATTACAAGTAGATCATACCAATGCCAGTGATTAGAAGTGTTATTAGTGAGTAATATACAGAGAAAAGAAAAAGGGGATATAATATTAGGACGAGAGATGTCTGATTGGGAAGAAGAAGTTAACCACACCAGAGCACCCACATACTGCCCATTCTAATAATTGTACACTGTAGCAGCTTTCTTTGTTAATTCGAGTAACATAGTTAATATAAGAAACTTTTGGAACTCCTGTTATTCTATTGTATTGGCAAAAGTATTTATATTACAGGTGTATCATCTACATTATTTTTTATCTATTTGTATGCAGCAGTTATACTGTATTTCTTCAGACTATGAAAGTCGAATCACTGTAATCTGTAGCAGCTTGTTTATGATATTACCCATGTAGGGAAATTAATTATTGGAACACTCTTGTTTTTATGTTACAAATCCATTAAAGAAATATTTTTGTCGTGCCTCTTTTTAAGTTTTAAAATAAAGTCTTATCACTGCTCTCTACGCTGCTCTTTTAATTAATTTATTTTTGTTAGTTGTTTTGTTGATTGTTATGGGGAGGGGGGGGGAGTTTTCACTGTTTGATTGTTGTTGTATTTTTTACTCCTTTTTTTTGTCTGTTGGGTTGTCTTTTTAGTTTTTTGGGGTTTTTTTTAGGGGGGGGGGGTAGCACAGTAGAACTTGACTAGAGCGGGACTTTGATTCCAGAAGAAAAAATCCTTCTGTGGGCAAGTTCCCGCAAATGGAATGCAAATGGGAATTACTGAAAACTTTCTTAAAATCCGCATTACATCCCTTCAACATCAATTCAATTTGGGCTTTAGAATAGTCTTCCTTTTTGGCCGACTTCGTTGATTTTCTCGGCCTTTACATTGAGTGGGAAGTATTTCCTTTTGTCCTTGTTGGAAGCCATCTTTTCCTCGGTCTTGTTGCTTGTGTTGTGTCTATCGTACTGTAACTGTAGAACTGGTGAAGTGGATGCGTGCTTATGCCTGGGCATCAACGATTGCAATTCAATCTTCTTCTTCTTCTCGATCGCTTCACACTTGAAGTCTGGTATATGTCTTAAATTGGACCGTCCTGCTCAGTTCATCTGTTGGCCCGTATAGCTTCTCTTGTAGTGTCAGTGGAGTTGGCCACAATTCATGTCTCAGGGCCCTATGTGTCTTGCAGTGCTGAAGGATGTACTCAACAGTTTGGTCTGCCTCTCCCCATTGCAATTCAATGAATCAGGAATCAAAAACTATACACTCTCTCTTCTTTTACACTAGTCTTAGGGTTATGACCTCGATACGCTTTATACTAAGCGGCTAGGCTATAATGGCACATCGCCTTTGGAGTAGGTCACGTAACCCATCTCTCCGCACCGTCTCTCTCTGCCGCCTGCCCCACCTCACTCGTAATTATATTATCATTATAATTAGGTACAAATGTTAAACGTATTTAAACATACTGTTGATCAGATTTCCCTCTCTCTCTCTCTCTCTCTCTCTCTCTCTCTCTCTCTCTCTCTCTCTCTCTATCTCTCACTCTCTTTCGCTCTCTCTCTCTCTCTCTCTCTCTCTCTTTCTCTCTCTCTCTCTTTCTCTCTCTGTCCTGAGAAAGGTTGCTTTTTGGGCTATATACTTCATTGAACAGCATGCAGAAGATAGTATATATTGTATATTACTTCACACAAAGATGTTAGTTTCATTGGCATTAAATGTATTCATCAATTCAAGTTTGTCATCACAAAGGCAATAAAGAGTAAGTAACCTGTCAAAACAGTGAATGAAAATCTACTCCTTCCTGATGTTGGAGTATATACCATAGGGAATGACACTATAGTATTGTACAAAATGCAATGTTCTACAATGTAAACTGTGAGTGAGCTTCCAAGAGGAGTCACCACCCCCTCCTTCCACCCGTCCCCGCACCAACAACAAAAAAGAACGATTCAATAACGTTAGAAACAACATTCCCACACTCACAAATCTGTCATTTTAAAAAAACCCAATAATGACAACAACAACAACAACAACAATAAATTAGTAATAATAATAATAATAATAATATTAATAATAATAATAATAATAATAATAATAATAATAATAATAATGATGATGATGATGATGATAATAATAATAATAATAATAATAATAATAACAAAAATAATAATAATAATAATAATAATAATGATAATAGCAACAATATTAACAATAAGAGCAATTAATAAACAACACCTGTATAGCCCACATCCCCACTCAACAGCAAGCTCGATGTGCTTTACGATAATATATTAACCCCAGCAGAACAACATGCAGAAACATGTTTGCATTCCCAGGAAGTATAAAGTGCAAGCAGCTGATTCAGCGTTTAATTACAATCAAAATGACAACATGGTTCGCTGTCTTTGATAAATAGAGAAAAATTCGTGTAAAGTGCCTTTCTCAAGGACACAACGTCAGGCCCCCTTTGAAGTTCGAGCCCACGATTTCTTTGCTTGCAAGACTAGACTACCGATGCAACAAATTCATACTCTCTCTCTCTCTCTCTCTCTCTCTCTCTCTCTCTCTCTCTCTCTCTCTCTTTCTCTCTCTCTTCCCCCACCTCTCAGTGTCTACCTCTCTGTCTCTCCTCCCCTCACATCAACTCCCTATATACATCTCTTTCTGCCTCCTACATCCAACAAACAAACATTCCTAAAGAACCTTCAACCCCCTTCCACCAACACACATTTCACTTCTTTCCTGCCCCCCCCCCCCCCCCAAACACACCTAAATTCTCTCTCATTTTTAAGGAAACATAAAATCCAAATACATGGATCTTACTATAAACTTTAAAAACAACAACAATCGGGGGTTTCATTTCAATAGTGAAATTCAGACAAAAGTTCAAATTGCATAATATAATCATTAGAAGGAAAATGCGCCGTTTGGAGTTTGATTAATGAAGTTATTTTAGCGAAATCAGTAAGGATCGTTGCTTATCATTATGTTAGGGTAAAAAATTGTAATCTCTTCACATTAATGTCAAAATAAGAAGAAGGATAATCGCTTCGTAAATCAAAGAAGAAACTACGTCGTGCAAGATTCCAGATAATGTGTATCATTGTATGTCATGTATAATTATGTAGGCCTATATAGGTGCGAGTCGTTGTTGCGAAATCAGGCGCTCGTCAAAAAAATGAAATCGAAGAAATCGACATTTATTTTCCGCCCCCGTTGGACATTTTTTATCGATTTTCTTTCCTCTGCACCTTTTATCTCCATTTAAAAATACATTTGCATATGTGCATTTTACTGAAAAACATTGAATAAAAGGCACTCGAAATGTTAATTTGCACCATCCAAGAACACTTATAAGCCTTTGAAAATCACCAAACTTATGCGGCCACTTTTTCGCTAATTTTACCTCTGACACCAGGGGATCCCTACTTATTCAATTGCAAAAAATATCGATTTCTGTTCTTGAGGGATAGTTGTCTTTTCATGTTAACAGGACAAATAAACAAGCTTTCAGTTGATGCCAATAACTGCACATACTCAAAACACTGACGAGCGCTTGATTCCAGCTTGTCGGGACACAATTATACTATACGTTCAAGTACATAATATAGTTTTATTGAATGAGAAATTTTCTTTAAAATCGTCGTTTTTTGTCAATCTTAAGCTATGCGTACAATCCGTAGACGAATATGTGTAGATTAGATTTAAGATCGTTTCCATTAATAATACGTAAAATATAGAACACTACACATCTCCTTTTTCGTGAATTTTACCATTTTGATCAAGCAAGGAATAAACAAAAAAAAAATAACAACAACGACAAAAACAAACCAGAAATTGAAAAGAACCGGAAATTCTGAAAGACTTATTGTTTTCATGGTTCTTTTGGTCCACAATATTCTTAGCAATAGAGGAATGAATCAAAATATAATCGATCAACTGACTATGAGCGATTCATCTCTAAAAACGAAATATTCGTTATATATTTTAGACACAACAAGAGTTTCTCAACCCACTTGCCATCTTTAGCCGCTTTTAAAATTATTTTTAGAGGAGGGGGTAACTTCCCAGAATTTCACTGAAAGAGATACCTTTATTGTACATGCTGCTTGAGTTGAGGGTTACTTCTTTCTTACCTTCTGTGGTTTCATCTGCCTGTCTTAGGATCTCTCCGCGAGCTTGACAAGCGTTATAATGTTTTCACGTCTAAATGCTTCTAGATCTAGTTACAACAAACAATAATTTTAAATCGCTTTGAATTTTGAGGTAAGACTGCATACCGTTTGATACAAGCGGCATTGGTAAATCCAGGGACTTGTTTAACACATAATATTTGTCCTTCTAGTGACATCACGCGCAATAGAACCAAATCAGCAATACTTTTTTTTTAAAGAAGCACTGGCATTCTACGTTTTGATTGTATTTTAGACTCTTTTCCTCTTTTTTAAAAAGACTTAATGACTTTATAACATACTTTTAAAAATACTTTCTAATCAGACAAAACTTGACATTTTCCCCAACATTATAAATGTATTCTATCCTGTTAAGTGACAGGTCAGTTACTGATCCTAAACATTAGGGAACGGCCTACACTGGACAATGCCATTTCAATGCTTAGGCAAACACAGTACCGACTGGCTCTTCCTTTTTGAAATCCCCATTTGGAAACATCTGGTATGTATATATCATAATATATATTATTATTAATTTGTAAAATTTGTGAGTTGTTCAATGGCTATTGATAGGTCTTGCATTTTCGCAATATTTCATGTGTGTCTGTCTGTCTGTCTTATTTGTTTAGTTTTTTGTTTTTGTAAAGTGTTTTACGGCGCTCGCAACTGCATAAGGTCATATGAGCGCGCGAGACACACCTAATATTTTCAATTGGTAGGAAATTTTGAATTTTGCCCGGGTGGCGGCCGAAGCCTACTTTTATCGATTTTAGACCACCAAGGGATCTTTAACGTGCGCAACTTGCACACGGGCCCTCCGAGATTTTTTGCCCTTGTCCGAGAAGATCAGGGGTGTGGCTGAAAGACAGAAGTAAGACGAAGCGAAGGAGTATCAGTAGAAAGGCTGCAGAAAGAATCAGGAGCCCAGAGGAAGTGGCAAAAGAGGTGAGGGGGTGGGGCAGAAAGAGGAGACGAAAGCAGACGACAGAACATTGCTAGAGAGCAGGAAATGAGGTGAAAGGAGACAAATTTAGAGGAGAAAAGTTTTCGGTCACTACCCGGATTCGAACCCGGGACCTTTGAATGAGAGGCCAACACCTTAACCTCTAGGCCACGAGAGCCCTCACTTATTTGTTTGCTATTTACAACTAAACATCCTTTATTTTTACGATGTACTGCTCTGTATTAAAAACAACAACAATAAAAGTACAAACAGCAACAGCTGTAATGAAAAGGTATATGAGTGTTTCCAATGTCCTAGCAGCCAATCACAGTCGGGTATTATGTTCCTTCTTGTGCAGTAAATAGAAGGTCTTCATGGGCTCTTTGCCCTTCACCTTGGTTATTCCTCTCAGCTCCAAGTTGTAGCCGTATTTGACCAACACAGCTGCAGTCTCCTCGCGCATCTGACGATTAAAGAAAACAGAAGTTGTTTTTTTCTTTTTTAAAGAAAATAACAGCACATCGACAAAAAAAATTGTCGCAGTAGGTGTAAAATCATAGTAAGACAGAAACACACAAATAGAGAAAGGACAAAATAGGAGTAGAAATTACCAGTGACACCATCTAAAAATTGAGAAAGAAAAAGTCGTAGTCCTGTCAAAAAAGTAAACGTATAATCTTAGCCATCTATGTTGTCTAATGGAAGGTTCATAATGACCCCATAGTAACGGATCCTGCTGTACTATTCATTTCAATTTTACTTATTAAAATAAAGCGTGTGGAAGTAGGGGTGATAAAGCAAATGTAGTTCTTTAAACGTTTATGTCTGGAGTCTGAAACAAGCAATGGTGATCATGAAACTCAACTTAAAGGATTTTTTTCGTTTCTGTGTGCCGGTGTGTTGGCTCTTTTGTCAGTCATATCCATGAATATTATGTTGCATGCACAGTGCTTGAAATTACACATACTCGATACACAAAAGAAAAAAAGAAAAGAAAGAAAGGAATGTCAGATTTAAAAACACTCAAAAGGAAAATATGAAGATATTTAACGAAAACAGCACTGCAGACAGTTGCGGACACAATGTGTTACGATACGGTGGAATCAACATATTTGAGCATATTATGGAGTTATTGATATCTCTCCAAAAATATTCAGATTTTAAAAAGATATCCATCTATCTTGAATAGTCGTCAAACTATCTGCGATTGGTGGAGGTGGGGGTCGCCAAGTGTCAGAGGTAAAATTAGCTAGAAAATGGGCCGCCAATTTTGGGTAATTCGTGGAATTTGCGTATTTTTGGAAATTTCGAAACCACTTTTTTGTTCCCGTGATCAACATTTTTCTGTAAAATCCAAACAAAAAATAACGTAAATGGTTTGAGCCAAAAAAAAAAACTTTAAAAAATTCTATTGAATTTGCCAGACAGACGGAAACATTCCGATTTCTTTGATTCCATTATTTCAACAAACGATGCCTCATATAAAATCACTGACCTGTATTTTGCCCGGTTCGCCACTGCTGTCCATACGGCTGGCAACATTGACTGTGTCACCCCATATGTCATACTGTGGCTTCCTAGCGCCGATTACACCGGCTATCACAGGACCATGGTTCACACCTGTAGAGTGTTTGGTTTGAATTAAGAGACGAGCATTGAGTGTCAGAGAGGTACAGTTAAGATTACTAGGGCTCAGATGCTTAAGGTTAATCTCACAGCGCTCGGTGGACTAAGAGTATCATTGTTTAAAAGGGTTACATGTTCCAGTTAATGGGACTAGAGGTAGTGCCAAATACTTTAAGGGTATCCGTTTCTGAGGGTTACGGCTAAGGACACCAGGTCTAAGAAGGATAACGTTATAGTCTTAGGGATCAGAGGTCTCAATTCCCAGGACTTTGAAGATAAGGGTTATAGGTATCAGGGCACAAGCGGGTTACAGTAACATTCTTAGGGTTCAGAAGGTCAATAGTTGCTCCCAGGACTCATGGTGTTAACGTTGAGGGTACCAGGGTTTAGGGGTTAAGATTAAGGATACCAGGGCTCAGAGTGTAACAGTAAAGAGTACCTGTTTCAGAGGGTTAAAGTTAAAGGTTCTCGAGATCAGAGGGTTAAGATAAGAGGTACCATGGTCGAAAAGTTTTAAGGGTTCTAGTTTCAGAGGAAAAGCGTTAAGACCTCAGGGTTCAGAGTGTTTAGAATACAAGGACTATCATGTTAAAGCACAAATTACCAATTCTAAGGCTGAAGTTGTTGAAGGAATGCTGGTTGACTGTGTCCAGGGTTGACATCATCGCCAGGCTGAACTCAACCATAGTCACAATCGTTCTCTCCCCTGCCTCGTCGTCCTGAGCATCGATAAAAAAAAACCCACAAATAAGCCGACATCAGAAAACACATTTACATCTATTAGTTACACCGTATCCTGTTAGAAGTTGTTATTATTGTTGTTGTTTCTGCAGGTGGTGGTGATGCTGATGCTGTTGTTGTTATAGTGAAAAAAAGCACATGAACACCACGATGATAACAGTAGCTGCAGCATCATCAGTATTTGGAGGTAGCATCATCATTGCATCGTTATCATCATCTTCCTTATCATCATCATCAGCCGCAACAGCAGCCGCCGCAGCAGTAACAACAACAGCAGCAGCAGAAGCATAGTTATCATCATTTTCATAATCATCATCATTACCATCCCCATTATCATCATGCAGCAGCAGCAACAGCAGCAACAACAGCAGCAGCAACAGCAGCAGCAACAGCAGCTGCAGCAATAGCAGCAAATGCAACAGATGCAGTGGCACCAGACACGCTAGTTAAACTTACTTTACTTTCACCTTTTCATCCTCTGTTGCCGTTAAGCGTCGAGGGGAGCTGCAGTTTTCTATAGTAAGCCAGCTCCGCAGCTAGTTATAATCATATTATATTTACAGGCATTTTCATCCCAGCAAGGTATCCTCACCTGATTACCGGCTTGTCCTCGGTGCAGTCCAGTGGCCGCCATGTACGTGCTGCCGATTGTTTTGATCTTCTCCACGTCCTGGAACTTTTTGATCACCAACTGAAATGCACGAAACTCACCCAATAAATGTCCGTTTATAAGTGTACTGCGTAGTGGTAAAATCAAGCGCCCGTCAATTTTGGGGCATAATATTATATTATGTTGGTACCATCTTAATTTTTTAAATTATTTTTGCTTTCGATGAAAAATGTCCCATTTTGTTTGAATAGAAATTGAGATATTTATTGAGATTGAAAGATTTCAGGTTAAAAAAAAATTATAATAGAGGTATTATTATTAGCTGTATTATTATCATTATTACTATTATGTTAATAGAAATATCATCGATATGGTGCACAACCATTGTCTACAGCATACTTTGAAAATAGTGAAAGGGTACAAATTTAACACCCCTATCAACACTGTTAGGCTATTTAAGAGGCGGCAGCATGCTCCATACTTTATTGTACAATAATTATTGTCACTCATAATAAGAAAAAAAAACTGTACTGACCAAGTCAAAGTCCGAAATGATTTCATTGAGGACTCGTATACATTCCATTCCCTCTCCATTGGATTTAGTTTGTTGGTAGAAGTCCTTGAAGTTTGGAATAGACGCAAACATGACGCTCACACTTTCGTATGCTTCATGGTAGAGATCCTGGGAGATGGAAGTCGAAAGAGGTCAAGCATAATCTTTTGTAAAGCAAATGTGTGGTGGGATTATATAAGTGTGTGTTTGTGTGTGTGTGTGTGAGAGAGAGAGAGAGAGAGAGAGAGAGAGAGAGAGAGAGACAGAGAGAGAGAGAGAGAGAGAGTGTGTGTGTGTGTGTATGTGTGTGTTGGGGTAGGGGATTTGAAGAGCTATTCTTCTTCGCTTCTGTAAAGAGCGCATCATGGTGCTTACATCGTGAACACATTAAAATCCAATGTGTCTAATTAATAATAATTAACATTTTCCCTCCTCCCTGGTATCAAACATACGTCTCCTACAAGCAATCAGCACGACCCTTACCATTACACGAAAGACGCCAGTTTGATTACACCTTTTGACGAGAACTTACAAAAAGCTTTTTAACAAATAGTACACTACCCCGGCACCTAATCAAATCAGAATCAAGGAATTTTACGTCAACGCTACATCAAAGGCTAATCTTAGCAAACTATATTTTACTCTACATTGAAATTTTATTGTGCACCCATTTTCTTTTAACGGGCTTGCGCATTTCGTTTATGGCGACCATTTATTTTGAATTTGCGATTCGAATCGCACAGTATCATCTATTGCAGTAGCGCCCCTTTTAACATTTCGCAAATGAATTTCTTCCGTATATTTTACTGAAACCCAAAAAACAACAACAACAAAACAAACAAACAAACACGACAATGAAGCAGGCTGAGAAAAAAAAAAACCTGGTATAGAGTAAATGTTAAAAAAAAGACTCACTTCGTGTTTTCTTGACGACCGCAGATAGTAGGCGATCACGTGGGAAGGAATGATGTTCTCCAGCACAATCTTGTTGATAGCAGCCATCATCTTTACCTGACACCGACAAAATAAGATTATTAGAAAATACAGGTTTCGAGTTGGTAAATATATTATGGACAAGTTTAAGACCCGACTGACACAGTTTATATCATTTGGGAGGTGAGATTATGCTCCGTCCATACCTATCAGGGTCAACCTGGGCTGAGTGTGATACAACCTCCCAGCAAATAGTTTAGTTTTAGTAATAGTTTTATGGCACTTGCACCATAATAAGATCATATAAGTGTCGAAGATTAGAGGTGTTTCAAGAGAGTAACAAACATAATAAAGAAGGAGGGGAGATAAGGACGATAGATGTATGATAGGAAAGAAGGAGTAAACCACACCAGAGAGCCCGCCAACAACCTACCAGCAAATAGCCCGTGCGCGTTTGTGTGTGTGTGTGTGTGTGTGTGTGTGTGTGTGTGTGTGTGAGTGTGTGTGTGTGTGTGTGTGTGTTTGTGTGAGTGTACCTGTGTGTGTGTGTGTTTCCGTGTGCATGTACGTGTACGTGAGTAATTAATGTTGACGACTATGCATGTCACTGTTAAACAAACAGCCCTATGAGGACCAGTAAAATTGTGTTACACCTTCGGTTTTCCTTTTCCTTTTTTTTAATAAGAGTTTTATGGCACTAGAAACACAATTAGGTCTCATAATTGCCTAAGATTAAAACTGTTACAAGAGAGTAATAAACACAAAAATAGAAGGAGGGAAGGTAAGGACGATTGATGTTTGATAGGAAAGAATGAGCAAGCCACACAAGAGTACCCACCAACCACTCGCCCTTTATCTTCTTGCAGGCGGTTTCATTGAAAGGTTCGAAAGTACAATATTATTAATATTATTAAGGCATGTTTGTTAGGCACTAAAAGATAGTGATTGTTTGTTTTAGTTTTTAAAATTTTTTAAATAATAAAAATAATAAAAATAATAATAATAATAATAATAATGATAATAATAATAATAATAATATAAAAATAATAAAAGAAGCACATAAATGCAATAACAATCAAGTAATGCAGAGGAAAAGCAAGTCAGTCAGACAGAAACCAGAAAGAATAGATTAGGAGTAGGACCTACCAGCAATACCCAACAATCACCGATCTACTAACCTGCTCTGTCTCTCTCTGAAATTGCATCTTGAACAAGTGGCCCAGTCTGTTGGCATACTCCATTTGTCTGTCCAAGAAATGCATGGTGATCAGCAGCATTGCTACATAGACTGACGTCTTTGCCTTCAAGGGAACCATGAATGTGTTGAGCCTGTCAGAAAAAAAATAAAAAAATATAGATCTAATTCCCATGATAAAAAAAGAGCGCAATGAAAGAGACATAGCCGTGTTCTTGAACTAATAATCACTTACGAATGATACCACCATCGCTAGATTCCTAAAGTTATGTTGGGGAGGGCTTATTAAAAGATTATCCCCTCCCCGCTTTTAAACAAAATCTAAGTTTTCAAAAAGTATTCTCAGCTATTCGCAATGTTTTGACTCTTCTCAGCTCACTACCAAATCAATAAGATTGACTTAAAATATTTCTGCCAATACTTCACCATCTGTTAATTTTTCACCTCTGGATGTAGTTTAGAAGTGACATAACGAGTTAATTCAGTTTCGCCTTTCCATTAAACATAATATTGGTATGTAGTATAGCACAAGACTCTTTAGATCCTTGAGCACAGCCTTTACTATTTTAAATAGTCTATTCCACGCCGTATCCAAGAAGTTTTTAAAACGAATATTATTTACCAGTTTGCAAAGGATCTCAGATCCCACCAAAGATTCGATTCCAATATGGCTGACTTTCCAGGCTTCATTCTAAAATACAGACATCTGCTGTCATGGTTAGTCTCTCCGTCATCGCACAGGGGAGCCATGTCTTCAATTATGTTTGGAGGATGTTTTCAAAGAATACATCAATCATTGTACGCCTCTCATTTTTGGGGGAAGTATTTTACAGCGCTTGCAACTGGATACGGTCATTACGAGAGCGCGGGACACATTAAACATTTTCAGTTGGGTTGATAGGAATTTTTTTATTTTGCCCAGGTGGAAGCCGAAGCCTACTCTTATCAATTTTAGATCTCCAGGGGATCTTTAACGTGCGCAACCCGTACACGAGACTTCGGAGATTTTTCGCCCTTATCTGAGAAGGCTAGGTGTTTGATCTTACTGACCCTAAGATCAGGGTGTGGCTGAAAGGCAGCAGTAAGAAAAAGTCGAGGAATAGCAGTAGAAAGGGTACAGTTAGAGTCGGGAGCCCATAGGAGGGGCGAAAAAGGTGAGGTTAGGGGGTGGTGGTAAAAAAATGGAGACGAAAGAAGACGACATGACATTGTTAGAGAGCAGGAAAGGAGGCGAAACGAAAACATTTTAGAGAAAAAAATGTTCCGTCGCTCTCCGGATTCGAACACGGGATCTATTGAATGATAGGGGAACATCGTAACCTCTCAACCACGAGACGAGAACTCCCTACCCCTCTCAGCCCATGTTGGCCTTTGGTGGCAGGGTCAAGGCAGCTGGACTCCTAAATTATCTTAATTTTGTTGACTGGGGTGCGTAAAGCATTTATGATTACAACTTACTACATATAAATACTCACCCGTCGTTGGAGGACTTGAGGTTCTGGTCATAGAGGTCGAACATGTCTCCTCTACCCACATGCACTACAATGTTGACAACCACGAACATGAGACAGTAGAAGATGAATTTGATGATGAAGCTGATCTGCACGAAGATACTGTAGCCAGTAAAGGCTAGAAGGAAGCACACGAGGTAATACTGAAATAACAGAAAACATATACTTATGAAACATAACCTGCTTTTTGTCTGGACTTGTAAAGAGAAGAAACGTTAAAAGAACGTAAAACTAGATATTTTTTAGGAAATAAATGTGAAAAAAAGTAAAGAAAGCTATTAACATTGAGATCTATTTCGACTGAAATGGGATGAGCAAACGGCCATTTCTAATAAGACTGGACACATACCGCTTGGCAACTTTACGCTAAAATACAAAAGAAAAAAACTGCACCATCATATAATCAAAATGATTAGTTTAGATAATAGATCTCAAAGCAAGCAAACTACTATTCTACTTTTTTTTTTATGTTGGCTCTTTTTTTCCCCTCTCTTTCAGTTCGTAGTAACTTTCAAAGTACTGTCCAGTTGGCCAACCCCACATGTAGCCGATGAGGAAAAAAGTATCCCAGCTAGATTCCCAGACAGAGACCCCCCAGAGAGTGGATGGAAAGGGCAAGAAATGCACAGTTTTTGCTTTAAACAGAGAAAACATACAACGTCAAATACACACGAGTAATTAAATCTACAGGCAAAAGACACTACGGCTAACCTGGCCAGGAAGTGCTTACAGAGTAAAAAAATCCCCTTTTTAAAGAACGTGGTTACCATCACTTTTTGGAGAGGAGCATTCCCATGTTTCAACTACAAAGCATTGCACAGTGCAAACATATTCTTTTCTGGGAGATTCAATGAAAGGATAAATCACACAGAAATAGGCTATAAGTATTGCCGACATATTATTGCCTGCAGACTATTAAAAAACAGGGTAAAGCAAATTGTTAGCTTTCTTTCTTGCTTTTCAAAAGTACATGCAAGTGTGTCCATATTACTCTGTTTTGCTCATGATAAAATTTACCACTGGTACATTCAATAAATATGAGCTGAATACTTGAGCAAAACAACAGCATAGTACATCAGTTTGAACACTTGATTAAAGCAGTTCAAGAAAATACGTCTTGTGTTTTACGTGGTCACTATAGATCAAAAGTGAACTTCTTTATTGCTCTTTTACAGTGGGCTGCCATTTGTTCAAAAAATATGTTGAAACACAGGAATGAAAAGTTCGGTACCCCTCTGTTGTTTTTTAAATGCCATATCCCATAATCTTCATGTTGACCCTGACATGAATGTCGAAACAGGCATCTGCGTAAGTTACCTAAATTGCGTCAATGAGGGCATTCACAGTTGAAGGGGTCACGTGAAAAACAGGATCAGTTCATTTTTAGAAGAAAAAAAATATCTGGGTTTTAGCCCTAACTTAAACAGTAGAATTACTGTTGAATACGCATATGCAATGAGTTAAGTGAAACACTACGTCATTCACAAACTGTGCTTTTATAAAGACAAATCAAGTCAAGAGTACTCGTGGTCAGCATGTAAATAATTTTTAAAAAATAAATTAATAAATAAGAAAGAAAGAAAGAAAGAAAGAAAATTTAATAAATAAAGAAAATAAATGGTCAAACAGCCTAAGTCATGAAAGGATTAATATGACTTACCCGGTTTATCTCTTAACCCTTTTAGCTGTTTACAATAATGAAACATTAATAGAAAAACAAACGACTCTCACCGATGGATAGCTGCAAGCGGAAGTTCCAGGCGTTATTGTTGTACTATTCGCCAAGTGAGACGACATTGTAGAATTGCCCGGACCTTCACAGTGTACCTGCAAAAAGTATCAACACCGAACGTTAGAGTTGGCAGGTAAACGACAAAAGAACATTGAGTGTAAAAAAAAAAAGATACGTTTGGGCCACATTATCTTTTTTTAAATTTATTTTATTTTTATTGTATTTATATATTTATTCATTTATTATTTATTAATTTTACATAATTCGAACAAAAATTGAGTGCTCAGTATAGTGTTTTACAACTGAAGGGGTCGTCCAGAAAAAGAGAAGGCCTCAACCACTTTGAAGACGTTTTGAGCCCCCCCCCCCCCTTTTGCTCCCCGAAAAAAGGCAGCTGGACGTAGGCATGATAACATACCGCGCGTTTTTTTCTGGGGCAGGGGGGGGGGGAGATTTGTTAAGACCATAATAACTATGATTTAAACTCATCTAGTCATTTTTATTCAAATTCTATGGTTCGTAGTCCCTGTTGCTGTGTGTCATCATATTAAAAATCGTGCTTTTAATTAAATCAGCCCTAAATCATTTATTTTTCTAATCCATTCAATAAAACTGACCAGGCTTAGTGTAGAGACTAAGGAGATTAGTCCCATGCAGCCCAGAGACAGGACTATCCTCGTCCAGTAGCTCTGCTCGATGTATGTGGACATGCGTTGAAGAATGCGCAAGTATTTGTGTCCCCTCTTCTGTGAAGGTGAAAGGAAGAAAGGGTTAAGAAAGGTGGGGGACCAGATTGTAAGTGGTTTTCGATATTCATGGACATACTTTAGATTATTTTGGAATGAGGAGTAAAGGAGATGTCAGGGTCTGTTTTGACTGCATTTCATGCCAAACCCGTTTGATACAACATCTCATAGGACTGAGGGAGATATTCGACTTCAATTTAAAAAGACAAACCATTAGATCTACACCACAGACATTGGTTTAGGAAAGTGGAACAATACTATCGTTAACTTTTTCTTCGATTTTTATCTTCGTTTTTTTTTTCCTTTCTTTTTAAGGGTCTGCGCTAGTTTTTCTCAGATACTGATCAGATCTCTGTGTCCCCTGTTTTATTGAGCGCTCAAGGTCAGAATTCGTGTTCGTGAAATAGCGTTGCACTGGACTAAAACTCATTCCCAGATAATAATATTATGCTTCACGTTTTGATGTTGGATAGTGTATGGCACCGTATGTCGAAAAACGAGGATGCTTCCAACGCTTTATACACTCAAGTGACGTTGCGAAATGTTTTAGAATAAGAGTGGGTAGGATGAGGTCTAGAAAGATGAGGGATGGAGTACAGATATATAAAAAAGAGAATCAGCGTGGCTTAGAGAGAGAGAGAGAGAGAGAGAGAGAGAGAGAGAGAGAGAGAGAGAGAGAGAGAGAGAGAGAGAGAGAGAGAGAGAGAAGCCGAGAGATAGAGCGAGAGAGATAGAGAAAGAAAGCGAGAAATAGGTAGAGGCAGGGAGATATTGAACGAAAGTAGAGGGTTGGAACGAGAGAGAGAGAGAGAGAGAGAGAGAGAGAGAGAGAGAGAGAGAGAGAGAGAGAGAGAGAGAGAGAGAGAGAGAGTGCAGTTTGTTGAGTGTGTCGTTCAAAAAGAAACGAAGCCCAGGTTGCTGTGTGACAATACTTGATTTCAACTACTCTGGTTCGCTTGGTTTAAAGTCCTTAGTTCTAGCTTTAGTAAGAGTTTTACGGCAGAATTAGGTCATATTAGTGCAGAAGATTACAAGTGTTACAAGAGACTAGCAAACACAAAAGGGATGATACCTATTTGATAGGAAAGAAGGAACAAACCACACCAGAACACCCTCCAACCACCAGCGTTCAAAGTCCAACAACTGGAGTGCAGTTTATTCCAAGTTAAAGAAACTAACGTGCCCATATCGATTGAAAATTAGCTCGGCAAACAGATCACGTCACGATCATTGTTCGACCTCCCAAATGATAGACAGGATAATATGACTCCCTCTGTCTGAGTCTCTTCTGTTTTACACAGAAGGATTCCTCTTGTTTGAAAGATGAGAGTTTTGAGATAATAGTACTGGGAGTCAACAGTTTGGCGGCTACAAAGGAGAAGACGACAATAATTCGAAGTGATTATAAGCTACACATAAAATACCACGTTAATAAAAATTTGTCATGTTGGCGTGTTGGCCATATTGCTTTCATCAAAACTTTGGCTTGACTGAAACCTACCCCCCCCCCCCCCAAAAAAAAAAAGATAAAAAATACAGGATTCTGTCACAGATCCTTAAGCTAATCTGATCAGCAGAACGACTGCGGGCTAGTTTGCAAAAAAAAAACCGGCCATCTGTCCAAACGACCACTACTAACTCTCCCCTTTGCGTTTATGAAACGTTAGAATGACAAAGTATAAGACAGCCAGCATGTCTAAAACACCTACTTTTCCCCTGTATAAGGGGGTGGCCATTTTAGACAATGTTGACTTTTAGTGCATGTTTATGAAAGCAGGGCACACAATCATACGATAATAATAATGATGATAATAATAATAATGATAATAATAATAGTAATAATAATAGTAATAATAATAATAATATTAATAATAATAATAATAATAATAATAATAATAATAATAATAATAATAATAATGATAATAATAATAGTATTAATAGTTATAATAATAATAATAATAATAATAATAATAATAATAATAATAATAATAATAATAATAATAATAATAATAATGTAAGACAAAGTAACCCATTTCGTGGCATGAAACATAAAGACGTCCATCAATTATTTATGAGCACTCACCAAGAAGGGGATCTGGTTGCAAAAACAAATAATTGTCACGGCAGTAAACAAAAGAATCCCAACTGTTGAAGTAACAAAGTACATCGTGCTCCTGGGAACAAAAAACATAAAAACGATAAATCATAGTTCTGTTAGTTTATAATCATAATCACTACCGTCATCATTACCATTATCATCAATAGAATACATTATAATTATAGTTAAAAACAGATCTTCCTTAACCAACTTAAAAAATAAGTACAATATTATTTTGCTAGCTTAAGCACATAACATATTATTGTCCCTTCAGCCTAACCAGAAGGGATTTTAAGCAAATATGTAAAATAACAAATAGCCTGTGTTATTTATATTTTACTATGCAAACAAAAGCACCAACACCCGCATGCAATCTTTTGCACATGTATAAAGACACAGACACACACACACACACACACACACACACACACACACATTCACACACATTCTCACACACACACACACACACACACACACACTCACACACATTCACACACACACACACACATTCACACACACACACACACACACACACACACACATACACACACACACCCATGCAGTCACACACTAACAGGCACGCAAGAAAGTACGCATCTTCACATATACACATACACATGTACAAACATAAATACATTGTACACAGACGTAGACACAGGGGTTGATGAAACGATAAGCTGTGGAGAACAGTAAAGACTTCGTATGGCAAACTGTTTAAATGTACTAAGCCAGAAGGCAAATATCTTTAAGGAGAGAGACATATTAAATACATCTTTTATTCACTTTGTATCTTTTCTTGCTTCTTTAAAAATATTTAATTATAAATTTGAATTTCAACAAATTATTTCTTGATGTTAGGCAACGGATACCACAGATTTAGAAACTGTAATAAATAATTTTAAAAATGATTTAGAAAACGAGACCATAGTCCAAACGCTAGTCAACGTCTTTTAATAATATGAATGAGTTTACCTTGGCAACATAATCGCCTGAGTGATGAAGATAACTACGAAAATGACGAAGGTGATCATGACGTAGAATGGGAACATATCGTCAGACTGCTTGGTATAGCTGTGCTCCGCTGACGGATCGAGGAACCGAAGAAAAACTGTGTGCATTTCGGACTTATCTTTGCACAGGAAACTGGGGATTTGAACAAGAGAATAAAGATGCCTTTGATATTTCAACATTTACAACACATTTTACGTTGAAAGGGACAGTTTAATAAACCGCAATATAGACTCCATAATAATATGTTTTGTTGATATTAATGTTAAAAGCTTTCTTCTACCCCAAATAGACAATTTAGGAGGCGGGGTGTTTTGATTCGGCCCTTGACCCTGGAAACCTAATGCACCTTCACAAGCATCGTCGTTGTCTGTTATTTAAAAAAATGTTCACTAGTCATTACTAGTCACTTTTAATACAAATCACCTCAAGAAGTCATTTTAAAAACATCCCAATTAGCAGTCTATTCAAACATTTCTCCTACAGCCGCTGTTAGTCTGTTCAGATTCATCCCCACTTCTCACCAACAAACAACCTAGAAATATATTCACCAATTTTTCTAGCGTGCAAAGAAAAAATTAAATGTCTCTTGCGTACTCCAGTGTTCTGTGCACACAGTTTAAATTTAGCACGTATTTTCAAGCAAGTGTTCGAATGTATACACATTTCTAAACAAATTAAGTGCGTGGTGAGGCCACGATGGAAAAGAGAGAGAGTCGGGGGGGGGGGGGGGGGGTATAGTCCTACCTGTAGTTGCTAATGTGGTTGAGGCGATCCTGCAGCCTCATGTTTATCTCCTCTTGTTGCTGTTTGTCAGCTGCCATGAGTCTGTGGAAAAGAGGGGTGCACGTTTGTTAGCGAATAAGAAGGAAATGGAAAACGGCGGAGGTGTCCATAGATTGGAAAACCCGGAATGACCCAATTTACAATAACAATGGTTGTTGCAAAGAAGGAAAAAAAAAGAAATCGGAAGCGTTGATCACAAAACTCGAGACTAAAACAATAACGTCAAAGTTACACGGAAAATTTAAAAATGTGTGCCCATGCGTTGGAGCATAAAAGAGCTGAGCTGGAGAGCAAAAGAGGTTCACTCAAAAAGAACATCGAATTCCTAAAAGAACCAGTAATGCATGCTTTCATCACTACCTTGACCTGGCGGTGGAAACATTTCACCAAGCCATTTGCCTGGGGGTGATAGGCTGTCTGATGTATGAGTCCCAACGCCTAAAACGTGTTACTCTTTGTCCAAAGAACTGAAGTGAACAGCTTCCACGGTCTAAAATAATATTCCCTCCGAAAACCCAAAGCTGGAATTCCAAGGATGGATGAGCTGAAGCGGATGGGAATTTGGTAGAGGGATGGCTTCTAGCCATAATCTGGTGAACGGCTCAAAGGTGGCAAAAAGAGGACTCATACCATAGCTGGTTGGCAAAGGCCCAGCAAGGTCCACACGGAGATTGTATATATATATTTTTTTTTATATTGGTGATAGGTGAGGGTGTTCCACGAGGGGTGGACTTCTGTGTCGATGAATTTCAGATGTTTGGCAGACATGCGATTATTTGCACAACTTACATAATATATCACGTTTCGTATTGAGCCATACAAAACGTTGGTTGATGGTGCATTGTGTGGGACACGCACCTGAATAGAAGGTCCCATGAATATGGCCAAAGACTGGGATAGCCCAGGAGTACTGTAACACTAACCCCTGTGCAAAACATGGAGAGTCGATATCCCCTGCTGAATGTCTTGTAGCTGAAGACCAACGGAAGCTGAGCGATAGGTCTCCATCAGGTATAGATAGATAGATAGATAGATAGATAGATAGATAGATAGATAGATAGATAGATAGATTGATTTTTTAAAAAGTTTTAGTAGAGGTTTTACGGCGCTCGCAACTGCATAAGGTCATATGAGCGCCAGAAGATTAGAGGTGTTACAAGAAAGTAACAAACGTAAAAAAGAAGAAAGGGAGATAAGGACGCTAGATGTTTGAGAGGAAAGAAGAAGCAAACCACATCAGAGCACCCACCAACCACCCACGGATAGATAGATAGATAGATAGATAGATAGATAGATAGATAGATAGATAGATAGATAGAAAGATAGATAGATAGATAGTTACCCATAGAACAGTAGCGTCATGAGAGGCTTTTCAGTTTTCTTTTTTGTAAGGATGAAAACCTCAAACTGACAACTAATTGCGCCTATCTAGTGGGTGGATAAGTTAGTCCAACTAGTAATTCCACAAAGAATCAATACAACAAAAATACAAATACAAATCTGAGTAATACATTTTATGCATAATTTCATTTTTTCAAGAATAAATTAGTTGAACTTAAAATACCAACTGCTTTTGTGCATTTTTTAAATTGTAATTTTTTTTTTCGATTTTTGAAAGGAGAATGGGGTTCAACAATATCTTTTTGTTTCCGTTTGTCCTCCAACGAACCTGGGTCCTCACTCCCCTTTCTTGCTCTCTCTCCACGATGTGTCCCTCTTGCCTATGTCGTCTCATGCTCCAGTACATTTTCTTTTCCGATTCCATTACCGCTCAGTTATTTCAGGCAGACCGATATTCAATAAAGCACCATTGATCTCTGCTTCATGCACAGTGATGTGTCATGGTGTGATTGGGGGCAAATGGTACAACCCTCTCATTGGCGTATAAAAGCATACTGATTGTTTGGCTTTTAATTATTGCATAAGCCCTGTTGCAGTATGAGACCCGACACAAAGCTATTATTAGAGATTCTAACACTCAACTCTCTGCATTTGGGACTTGATAAAAATAATAGAACCTTATAGGGGTCGTATTTAAAGAAACAGTAGAACAGTCACTGTGTTATTAAAATTAAAAATCACCAGGCGAATCACTATGTCTTTTTTGCAAAGACGTTTGTTGTAATGCCTACCCCTGGTCGATGCCCGAGGAGTTCATCATGAAGTTCGAGTCGATCAAAGCCAAGCTCTGAAAGGGAAGAAAACAAAATGTGGATTATATGAAGTAGAACCTGTCTTTTTGTCTCAGTTTGAGAAATTGCTACAAACAAACATCATCTAAACTGATCTCAACTGTCGACAGATGTACTTCTTTAAATCAGGGTATCCTTACTAATCAGTCGGAAGTACCATGAGGCAAGTGTGTTTTGACTTAACTAAATAGCAGTACGTTCTTCTCAGACGATCACTACTTGACGGATCTGATTTGGAGTATTGTGAGTGTGTATGAGGGTGGGGGGGGGGGTAACACGTAATACAATATGTAGAGAGTGAGGGAGGGGGGTTCTTTTTTTGTAGCAAGGGTAGTTTTTTTTACAGAGACTTTTGTCTGTCGAACACACATGTTCTTTCAAAACTTGTCCTGTAAGAATTGAGACGGTTGACGACTATTCACCCCATCCCCAACCCGTCTTTCAACATGTCTGAATTCGTTAGTTATTTTAGCTATGCAAAATGTGACATCGTTATTTAGGGCTGACAATACCAAGGAACACAGAATGCCAGTGGAAAAGCTTAAGCAAATCTTCAAATATTTAAACAATTTGGCGGGGACTTTTTTCTCTGTACCCGTTCATACTATGGAATAATTTTCAATTGGTACATTGCTGCTGGAGTAAAACACAATACTGCTTTCCGCATATTTGCCACTATTTCCCCATTTAACAAGAACAGGACCGACAATTACAATTGGATAAAAGAAGCAAGAACATCTTAAATGAGCCTTCATGATGTCCTAATATAAGGTTTTCAAAGCTGTTTCCTGCGTTTAAAGCTCAAATCTAACTCGAGGGTGCTTCAACTATATTTTCATACTCCTTGAGAAAATCAATTAAACACGTTTTATCTGTCTTTTTTTCAATATCTGTGGTGCAGTGATTGGGCTCTCCACAGTCGCGCACTTGCTAATAAAAGCCTTAGGACACGATTACCATTCCTGGATAGGGAAGTTATCGAGCTGTTCGTCTGTTTGTTGGGGATGTTTCATCCCTCTAAGCCGCGGGTGGCTTTTATATGTAGGGTAGAAGCAACCTGCCTTCCAAACGATCTAGTTGAGTTTTCAAAGCTGTCATAAAACATGTTATCACTAAACTGACGGTAAAAAACACACAATTGTTTGCAATTACAGAGTAAATGTCCCACAAGGAGCTAAAGAGTAAGATATTTACAATTTTTAAAACTCCGGAACCTCAAATGTTCACCGCTGAATCTGACTTACTGTGAGGCTTAGCGCCTCGGACACTATAAATAATCAAACTCAGGGGTAGGCAACAGGCGCTCCGCTGAACAAAATCAACTGCTTGATAGTGACCTTCCCATGAAAAATGCTGCACGCCCTTATCTAAATTGTGTCGACAAGGGGAAGTAAAGTATTTGCCTTCCTCGATTTGATTTACTGAAAGGCTGATTGCTTTTAAGGAGGGGGGTCAAAATTCGGCTAAAAATTATGGAATTTAAGTTGTAGGCATTTTTAGCTTTCTCAGCTTTTCCTACAACTATTTCATCCCATAAGAACCCCTAAAAAACGTATTTTTCCCATACCGGGCATGTTTGTCACCGCCATTTCCTCATAAAGTCAGTATTTCATTTATTCTTTATCGGCTGTTTTCTCAAAACGCGACTTTTCTCTGTACTTTTTAGAATTACCCCACCCTTTTTCATCCAATCTTCATGAAATTTTCACAGAATGAAGAGAAGGTGTAATACCAAACGTTTTTTGTTGAATTTATGATATATGGAATAGATTTTTGTCGGTGATGTCTGGAGTGTGGATTTTCACTGATTTTTTGCAAACTCTGGAAAAAATTCATTAAAAAATGTTCTAATTTGTTTAGGAAAAAACAACAGACACATTTTTAGATCCAATGTTTGTGAACACACAAGCAAAAAAAACCAATCAATTTCCATAAGCGAGAAGTGCGGTATTCATTACGTAAGACATATCAATAAAATCCAATACGGCCGCTGTATCTATGGAAACGAAATTTTTTTTGAAATTTGATTGCGGATTTTAAGACTCCTTACTTTGCTTGCTATATGTGTGAAATTTGGTAAAATTCGGTTCAGTAATAAGCGAGATAGCCTCCAGGTGTAGCCCCGCCCTTAAACAATACGTTGGTGGTCTTGAGGTTGGAGAAAAATAATACGTTATCCAGAATGTATCGAATTGGGGATACGGGGGGGGGGGGGCGTCGTCAAAAATTACGAAATAATTTTTTCATACATTTTAATTGATTGATTGATTGGTTGATTGAGTAGGTGTTTTACCTCAGTTGTGGTCCGTTAAAATACATTTTCAACATTGTATCAAATTTACCGTAAGACTCAGGGCCTTGGATACCATGGAACTCGTCTTGAGGTTGGAGAAGGGTTTGTCCACTCCCCAGGTCTCCAAGAACTTGGTCAGTCTCGCAGACTTCCTCATGCCATGGTCATGGTACCGCGTCTTGCCAAGTTTCCGGTCACGGGTCTGGAAATGACAAACAAATAGGTTTTGATAAAAGATAGATTCTATGGTTCTTTTGTTAGAAAATACTAAATGCCCCTTTCATGACTATGAAAGTGATAGCATGTGTGCGTGTGCATGTGCGTGTGCGTGTGCGTGTGTATGTGTGTGTATTTGTGTGTGGATCTGCGTGAGGGTTTATTGGAGAGATACAAAGAGAGAGAAAAGAGAGAGAGGGAGAGAGAGAGAGAGAGAGAGAGAGAGAGAGAAAGACAGAGAGAGGGGGAGGCGGTGGGGAGAAGGTGTGTGTGTGTGTGTGTGTGTGTGTGTGTGTGTGTGTGTGTGTGTGCATGTGTGTGTGTCTGTGTGTCTGTGTGTGTGTGTGCGTGTGAGTGTGTGTGTGTGTGTGTGGAGGTGGGTAGTGGGGTTGTGAAGACAAAGAAACAAAGACAAGAGTGATGGAGAGTGTGTGCGTGTGCATGCGCGCGTGCGTGTGTGTGTGCGTACGTATGTGTGTGCGTATGTGTGTGTGTGCGTATGTGTATGTGTGTGTGTCGTAGTGACAAAGAGAAAAAAAGACAGAGAGAGAAACAGAGAGAGAGAGACAGAGAGAAAAACAGAGAGAGGGAGACATAAAGAGACAGAGAGAGACAGAGAGAGACAGGCTGAGAGACAGAGAGAGAGAGAGAGAGAGAGAGAGAGAGAGAGAGAGAGAGAGAGAGAGAGAGAGAGAGAGAGAAATAGACTGTGTTTATCAGCAAACTTGTCAAATCTGTCTGTCTTTATCTGTCATTGTGTTTGCATATTATTTTCACACTTATCCTAATTTCTCCTCACCTGCCGCCTTTCCACCGGCACCACCAGATAAGTGTCCACTCCAGTGTCTGCCAGGAAGGTACTCCGCTCCCCGCCTAGTCCAGGCTCCACGTCATACTCGCCGTCCAGGCAGTCCAATGTCTGCTTGGAGATGTGGACTCGTCTGAAGGAATAAAATCAGGTATGATCTACTTTAGGATTGGTATAGTTTTAGTTAGAACTTTACGGCACTTGCAGCACAACAAATAGATCACATAAAAGCTAACGATTAAAGATGTTTCTAGAGAGTATCTTGCCATAAATAAAAGAAGGAAAGATGTGGACGATGAATGTTTGATAGGAAAAGAAAGGAGCAAACCACACCAAAGCACCCGCAAACCTTTCACATGATTATGAGCTGCTGCTTGTGGGGGTGGTTGTGGTAGTTCATATAAGTGTTTAGTGTACTTATCGACATACTTTAGGTCATTTGAGAGGTGGTGGTTTAGTATGACGGTGCTGGTAACGACAGTTGTGGTGGTCGCATTTTTCAGCATATTTGCTATGGTGCTTAGAGTAATTCATGTTGTATTTACCATCATACCTAGAACAATATAATATCTGTAGACCAATGTTTATGAATATACCAAGTCTGTGAGTGACAGAACATTCAAACAGAAAGACTGAGATACTCAAATGGGTTTTCTGCGTGTGACGGCGATGAGCCTAACAGCTGCACCACCGACGCGTGTGATCTTTCTGTGATTATGGCTACTTCCGTTTAGTATCGTTAGCAAAACTCACCCAGGCACGCCACCAGACTCCATGTTGTTAGCTATAGTGACGTCATCGGACCACACGTCATACTGCCACTTCCGAAGACCCAGAACACCGCACAGAACTGAACCCGTATGTACTCCTATGCGCATGTCCACGTCGACGCCGGTGTTTTCACGGACATCGCTGGGAAAGGAAAATGGTTGTCAAAATTCTTTGAAACAAAACTTTTATGCAACCATTTTGAAAAATATGTTTTTAAAAAAGGAAGAAGACAGTCTTGTTTTCAATAAAAAAGTATTCTTTGTTACAGTTTTTTTTAACAAGAGCAATGCGCAGGTAAGTTTGTTAAAGGAAACTGTGATGGCTGGTTATTTGCTATTGTCCTTTTTAAAAATTAAACGCACATCGATACCTGTTCTAATAATTATCATTGTAACACTCAAGGATACAGACTCTCTCTCTCTCTCTCTCTCTCTCTCTCTCTCTCTCTCTCTCTCTCTCTCGCTCTCTTTCTCCCACTCTCTCTCTCTTTCAATCTTTCTTTCTCTCTCTCCCTCTCTCTCTCCTTCTTTGTGTCTCTGTATCTGTGTGTGTGTCTGTGTGTCTTTCTGTCTGTTTGTCTCTCCCTATCGCTCTCCCTGTTTCGCTTTCTCTCTATCCATCGGGATTACAATGTAGCATGAGAAAGCTGGTTTCATTCTATAGTATCTAGAGAGACAAAAAAAAGGAATTACAGTTATAGAAGAACAATAACAAAGGAGACGAAGAGTCCGAAATGTGGAAACATAGTGAGTGATCCCCAGGGTCCACTTCCGTTCAGTTGGAGCAAAAAGCCTGGACTACGTTCTGCATTAATAATGAAGCTACTCCTTTCTTCTCGAAGCTCATCTTACAAGCTTCAGGTGGCACCCGATATACTGTATTGTTTATTGCACGGACATGTTTTGAATTTGTATAGTCCTTGGAAAACGCTGAAGGCAAAAATAGTTTTCAGTGGTTCGATAATACTTTTAGTAGAGGGTTTCACGGCGCTAGCAACTGCATAATATTAAAGTCATAGGAGCGCCAAGGGGTTGGTATCAACAGAGAAGTCCTTACAGGGAATCAGACTTATTCTGCTCACAACTCTAGCTTCAACAGCACAAGGTCTACTTTGACTATCAAGGCACCCCGGAAATAGCAGGTCACAAGAGAATGACAAACATACAAAAGAAGTAGAGGAAAATGACAATAGCAAGGATTAGGAAAGAAAAAGCAGCAGTTTCCAGTTGCAGATCAGGCACAGTTATGAGCGTGACATGATGAATCTGCCCATTTACAATTCTACCGTGCTTGAACGAGGAATGTCCCCACCTTGGGAATGGCCTAAAGACACTACAGTCAGTGGCACTGCCCCGGGGGGGGGGGGAGTAATACTTCGCAGTTAAATTGCTTGGGGATGGTTACAACGTAAAAAGAGAACCTAACAAAGCATCGTGCCTCTCCTATCTTTTCAAACTAAAGACGACCAACGATTAGCGTAAGTGATGTACTAAATTAGGAGTCTTTTTGTATTAAGACTTCGATCAGGTACTTCCGGACTTGTATATTCTTAACAGTTTATGAACATTGCACCTGTAGTGATGCAAACATATTTACAAATTTCAATTAATTGTCTAACTTTTGAGTATTTTGCCGTTTAAATATGTTGCTATCCGTCCAGATGCGTTTTAGAAGACAAAACAAGAGTGGCAATAAGAAAAATGAGCGTTACCGGATGGCGTCCAGCATGCGCAATCCCATGCGTACGCAGTTGTGGGCGTGTTTCTTATCAGCTGTCGGGATGCCAGACACACAGTAGTAGCAGTCTCCGAGAATCTTGATGCGCATGCAGCTGCTCTTCTGTGGAGGTAGTTGGTCAAAAGTCAATGCTTGTCAATCCTTTTATTCCTAGCGCCCTATTGTGCAACCTTTGAGAAGCTGAAATTGTAGTAACGCCGACATACACATAATATTTCCAGGACAGGCATTAACTCATTGAACAAACGCCTACTTGTCATTCGACTACTCTTGAAGATTCGCTGTTTTAGGGTATAACTTCATTATTCAAACAAATGTTTCAGTTTTGTTTTCTTATCTGAAACTTTCAAAGACACCCAACAACATGCATACTACTATAAAATATGCAAATTCACGTTTCTGATTTGTGTGTGATGGTTCAAAATGTTGATCGGACGTAAGTGTTCACTGCGTCCTTAAAAGGTTAAATAAAAATACATATCACTATCTGGGTTGTTCCGACCGCCCACAGAAAATTACCAAACCGTCTTCAAGTGGGTGATGTTGTGAGGGTTGGCAAGTATTACTTTACGTTATTGGGGTTGAGGGGGGGGGGGTTGTTGGTTCTTTTTTTTTTGGGGGGGGGGGTGTTTGACTATTTTTTCCATCACAATGGGAAGGAGAAGGAATTGCTTGACGATAAGCGACATTAAAACTTCAGTGTATGGACGATATTATTATTACGCTAGTCGACGATCAGATGTAACTTATTTTGTTAAATAACAATTAGTGACTATAGACGTGTGCGTTGGACGGGAGTGATCACAGCAGTAAATTATATTATAACAGCTGTAAATAGCTAAGAGAGAAAAGAATGGTCATCGAGGTATGCTAAGAATGGGAACTTGAGCTCAACCATGTGCATCTGATACTTTGCACATTCGGAAGTATATTTCTTTAAAAGAACCCGTGCGAAGTCAATTAAAGAGAACATGTAATGGATGACGCGAACTTGTAAAGCACAATTTGGTTTCAAGTTATAAAAATTAGTATATTGTATATTATAAATCATTACATCAGAATTACAAAGTTCTATCTTACATTTTGGGAGTTTTGAGTTACTTGGACCTTGAGAACAAAAACCAAATTTTTCAATTACTGTTCTATCTGCTCTAACAAAAGCATAAGCATATTCGGGGACATTATCAATATATTTTAAAAAACTGCATTCGAAAAGGTTTGACATGACGTGACATTCAAAATCTTTGATGTTAATTTCTGAAAACTAGGTACTGAGCAGATAAAAATTTGTTATTCTAAGGAGGCGAAATGCAAGCACATAAACTTCTTAAGCCGCAGCAAGACGATCGCCCACGCACACATTCACATCCGTCTTAGCCAAAGCCTACAACATGCTAACAACCAACAGGAAATCCGTGTTTGCTGAAAAAAATGTAATAACCTAACCCAAGTCAGCAGCAACAATCATCACCTACCTTAGCCAGCTGGTCAAAGCGTCCAAAGAGTTCGTTGAGCATTTTTACAAGTTCAGCAGCCGTACACTCGGAAGCTAGCGGCGTGAAGTTGACGATGTCGGCGTACAGTATACTGCGGATGGGAAATGTTTAAAAATTCTAAAGAATACGTCGTGGTTAGCTGTTCAACTGTTCAAAGCCAAGCAATCAATTATTTTACTAAAGAGAAAAAACGCTGAGTTTTTTTTGTTTTTGTTTTGCTTTTACAAATTGCACTTGCACTAGGTTGTTGATTTTTTATTTAGTTGTGCTTTGTTTCGGGTGGTTATTTTTAGGCTTTTTACCATTTAATCTGAACTTTCGAATTGCAACTATTCATCGAACGTATACAACTAATACAATGGAATCAGAAGGATTGTTTTTAAAAACACAAAAAACTTGAGCGTAGTAGCATTTCAACACCTGGCCTACGATATACCCATGCAAAAGGAGAAGAATAAAGAACACTTTCATTTCGGAACTGTCTTCAATTTGGCTTTCTCTCCATAGTAATCATTCTAGAAAACACAGATTATCGCCATAATCAACATGTTAGCCCTTAAACAGGCATTTTGTGAGTTTGGCAGTTATTTATCTAATCGGATGCCATAATGAAATAACCTAGATGATCATTATCCTTGTCTTTCCACGTCACCTATCTGTGTAAGTTGTCCTTGGTCTTCCTCACCCTATTTTTCCTTGAGAACAGGGATCTCTATCTAAGTAACACATACACTGAAATCGTCTCTTCTTGATTCTTGCTACTAATGGACAGCCCCTGCAAAGATTGTATATAAAGTACCTAGTACCGGTATAATCCCTTTGACGTCACCCTTCTAATTCATATCTTAAAAATAATATACCCTCTCACGACTATACAGAAACTAAAGCAAACTTCGGGAAATGATTTCCTTGTGTTGGTGGGGGACATAAAATACACTTACTTTTTTAAAAAAAGAATATTGTTCCTCTTATGTGGTTAAACGTGTCGGTAATGTAGTAGTTTGATTCCCACAGTCGATTGTCCCACCTCACCTGCTGATATGGTTCATCAAACAAACAAAAAACTCAACCAACCTGAGCTGGCTAATCAGAAAAAAAACGGAGGTGAAACAGCCCTCTTCCGAAATGGTCTGACTTGTGTCGATATATGGGCCAAACAAATTTTCAATAGACTAACAGAATATAAATTGTGATCCTTCTCTCACCTGACACCGTGGTAGCGCTGTACATACAAGTCATGAAAGAGCGTGGGCCGAGGTTCTCGCATGTTCTCTTGTAAATCTTTCTTGATCTCTTTGACGAGATTGCTGGGAATACAACTGACGAGCAGTTCATCCTAGTAAAGGAAAGAATATTACAAGAGTACAAGAAAAATCATTATACCGAAATGTGAGTAAGAATCCTGTAGTAAGGATGTTACACTGTTGGTAAGAGTATTGTAATCATCATCATGATAATGATAATCATCTTCCATCAGCATCAAAAGAAAAAAATACTTAATGATAATAGAACTAATAATAATAATAACGACAAGAAGAAAAAGAAGAAAAGAAGAATGAGAAGAAGAAGAAGAAGAAGAAGAAGAAGAAGAAGAAGAAGAAGAAGAAGAAGAAGGAAAGAAGAAGAAGAAGAAGAAGAAGAAGAAGAAGAAGAAGAAGAAGAAGAAGAAGAAGAAGAAGAAGAAGAAGAAGAAGAAGAAGAAGAAGAAGAAGAAGAAGAAGAAGAAGAAGAAGAAGAAGAAGAAGAAGAAGAATATTGTTACTGCTCCTCATTATTATTATTATTATTATTATTATTATTATTATTATTATTATTATTATTGATATTGTTATAAATAATTATAATAACGATATTGCCAATGATACAAATACTAATCTTTACCATCATCATTATCATCATCAACGTCGCTCATCATCATCGGGGTCGCTTACCAATCCCTTAATAAAATCCTAGAAAAAATTGAATAATAATTTCTCTGTCTATCTTTCTGTCTGCTTATCTTAGTCTCTATTCTCTCTCTCTCTCTCTGTCTCTCTCTCTATATATATATATCTCTCTCTCTCTCTTTATATATATATTCCATTTATCTATCTATCTATCTATCTATCTATCTATCTATCTATCTATCTACCTATCTATCTATATATCTATTTGCCTACTATCTATCTGTTTATTTATCGATCTATCTATCTATGTATCTATTTATCTATCTATCTATCTATCTATCTATCTATCTATCTATCAATTTATCTTTCTCTCTGTTTAACATATACCCCGTATGTCGCCATTTGTTATCCTCCTTGTCTCTGTAACTTTTCATCTCTTTGTACCTTTCAAAATAAGTACACAAAAAAACAACAACAACAACAAAATATATATATATATTCCATTTATCTATCTATCTATCTATCTATCTATCTATCTATCTATCTATCGATCTATCTATCTATCTATGTTGACTAATTACATCAGCTGGTTAACACAAGCATCATATTTTTTCTTTTCGCAAATACCTGTTGCTGTTTTTCTTTCTCAAGCTTGATCATGGAATCCACAGAGTTTCTCGCGTCCAGGAACGCTCGTCGATGCGCGACGTCAGAAAGGAATTTGTGCGTGAGTCCAATTATGTTCGCGCTGGACAGAACCAGGAAGTTGCAAAACAGCTGAAACAAAATGTCAATAGTAAATATTTAACCTCGAATGTTTTAGCTTTTTTAATCGAAATATTGACCAGAATCAAGGCGATCTGTGAACAGTTGTTAATGACCAACTGGTGTTTCGTGCTCGTATGACCTTATAATGCAGTTGCAAGCGTCGTAAAACTCTTACTAAACTAAAAACTAAACAGAAACAGATAATGGATTTCATTTTTTCAATCAAATTAGAAGCAGAAGCTGCTACTTAAAGTGTGTATATGTGTGTGTGTGTGTGTGTGTGTGTGTGTGTGTGTGTGTGTGTGTGTGTGTTTATGTGTGTGTGTGTGTGTGTGTGTGTGTGTGTGCGTGTCTGTGTGTGTGTTTTATTGTCGTCATCATCGATATCATAGTCGATTGAGTTGGAGTGAAGAGAAGCCTATCGACGTAATGATAATTATTATATTTGATATTTATAGGTGGAAAAGGGTAATAAACTTCTACAATTACATAAGTGTGGCATTCCAACAAAATACATTTCTTCTCGCAATCTATTATTAAGGTGTGTGGTTGAGATTTTGGCCAAAAATCGACATCAGGGTAAAGTGTTTTGATATTTAATTGATGCGACTAACTGACGCCATTTTATACTAGTATAACAGTGGCGTTGGTAATCTAATGGTTCGAATACCATACTCGAAATCGTGAGGTTGCGGGCACGCGGGTTGGAACTTCAACTCGGTCCGACGTTGTTTCCTTGGGAAAGGCACTTTACTCAAATTTCCCATTTGACTCGCTCTGTTAAGAGATGAATGTTAAACTGGGATGTCCCGCCTCTTAAATAGCCCAAGAGTGTTGATAAAGGCGTTGGGCCCA